AGAGTTAATTTAGGTACACCTTTGGAGGCAGGCGCATGCCTTTGTCTTTTGATCTTTGTGCGACTGCATTGGAAGAAGATGCCGGTTGGTCTGCGGTTAGCCAACCGGGTGAAGGTGGAGATGAGCTTTGGTTAGGCCACCTTTTCTAGGCCCCTCTCCGAGTGGAGCAAGCAGTGCTGTCCTTGGAAAGGCTGCTTGGTCGTTCAGGGTGCTGCCCCAAGAGACTGTCATCTCCGGTCAGTCTCAAATGACCAATATCCTGAACCGCCTGCATGCAGGGTTGGGTCTGCGGCTGCCAGTGCACCTTTCACCTGCCATTTTGACCCTCGCCCGTCGCTGCAGGACTTTTTGCATGTGGGTAAAGCCTTCAAGCCTGCGCAATGGATTTTTTAGGTGAGACACAGCGTGCGCGGAACTGAACCCACCCTTTAATCCTGAGGTTCAACTGCCAGGGCCGAGCGAGCTTGGACGGTGGCAGTGAGGTCCCCGGGACGTAGGTTTGATTAGAGTGACCTTCTCACTCCCTGCTAAATGCTGAGTTAAGAATTGACTGGAGGGCTGGGTCCAGAGAGTGGTGGTGAACGGTGCTGCATCCATTTGGCAGCCGGTCACTGGTGGTGTCCCCCGTTGGGCCCAGTCCTGTTTAATATCCTTATTGATGATCTGGATGAGTGGATTGAGTCCACCATTAGCTAATTTGCAGATGACACCAGGTTGGGGGGGGCGTGCTGATCTGCTGGAAGGTGGGAGGGCTCTGCAGAGGGACCTGGACAGACTGGAGAGTTGGGCTGATTCCAACGGGATGAGGTTCAACAAGGCCAAGTGCCGAGTCCTGCACTTTGACCACAACAATCCCATGCAGCGCTACAGGCTGGGGACAGAGTGGCTGGAGAGCAGCCAGGCAGAAAGGGACCTGGGATTTTGGATTGATAGGAAGCTGAACATGAGCCAGAGTATGCCCAGGTGGCCAAGAAGGCCAATGGCATCCTGGCCTGGATCAGGAACAGTGTGGCCAACATTCTTTCCCTGTACTCAGCACTGGTGAGACCACACCTCAAGTACTGTGTCCAGTTCTGGGCCCCTCAGTTCAGGAAGGATATTGAGGTGCTGGATCAGGTCCAGAGAAGAGCAACGAGGCTGGTGAAGGGACTGGAGCACAAGTCCTATGAGGGGAGGCTGAGGGAGCTGGAATTGTTCAGCCTGGAGAAGAGAAGGCTCGGGGAGACCTCATCACTGTCTACAACTCCCTGACAGGAGGTTGTAGCCAGGTGGGGGTTGGTCTCTTCTCCCAGGCAACCAGCAGTAGGACAAGAGGGCATGGTCTCAAGTTGTGCCAGAGAAGGTTTAGGTTGAATATTAGGAAGAAATTCTTTACAGAGAGGGTAATCAGACACTGAAATGGGCTGCCCAGGGAGGTGGTGGATTCACCATCCCTGGAGGTTTTTAAGATGAGACTGGATGTGGCACTCAGTGCCGTGGTCTGGTAACCACAGCAGTGTTGGATCAAGGGTTGGACTTGGTGATCTCGGAGGTCTTTTCCAAGCAGGTTGATTCATGATTCTGTGATTCTATGACTCAAGTCTTCTTTCACCATATCAGTACCTCTTCTGATTTTCTAATGGGAAGTTATGATTTACCAATGGAAAGTCTCTTATACAGTTTTAGTGACCTCCCTTTATATGCTGAGTACTGATGTGGGAGAGGTAGTCCCAGTCTCACGGCTTCATAGAGTGATTCAAAGTCATCTCCAAGAATATAGTTCACCTGTTTGGGGGCTGGGGGAGGAAGAAGGATTTCATTCCTTCTGCTGAAGCTGTTCTTTCTTGCAGGAAAAAATCCAAAGAAGTCATGGTATCATTGTATTTGGAGATACTGCAACCTCAGCTGGACAATGCCCTGAGCAACCTGAACTAACTCGGAAACTGACACTGGTTTGAGCAGAGGATGAACTAAATGAAATCCCAATGTCCCTTTCAGACTTGTGTAAGTCCATGATTCTAGAATTACATGTAAAATACTCTCGAGAAAGAAATATATGAGAGTTTCCTTGCATCCTAAAAGTTAGGGCTCTCCCTGTGGAAGACTTCCATGTCTCCTAAGAACTGTTCATATGTTTTCCCCCATGTCTACACTTTACGGATTTACCTCTTTTCCTTCTTTTCCCAATTGCTAGGCAGCAGATCCACATATCTACCTGAGAAAGAGGATACTGCAGCTAAATCCATATGAAATCTGAAGTCAGACTTTCAGAGAAGGTGTCTTGTCAGATGCTTCAGGACAGGTAGGCAAGGTGGTGTGTAGTCTGTGAATCTGGTCATTCCTGCACAGAATGAAACACAGAAATACAACAAAGGTATCTGAGTGGTGAAAGCCAAGAATAAAGCAGCCTTGAGTGGGAGAGGTTTAGATTTCAACACGTAAGTTTTACCTACTCCCCTCTGTCTGTGCTTATAGTTCTCTCAGAGATAGCCTCAAAAACGGCTTTCAAATATCAGTAGTTATGCTACTAAACAATTTTCCTGAATTTCATCTGAACTTAGCAGACACATCTGATTTATTTCAACACTAACAGGATCATGACTGAAATAAAATCATACACAGATGAGTGTCTCAATTGCTACTGTTATTAATCCTGCTGTTTAGGTTCATGTTTAACAGGAGGCATATGCAAGGCTCATTTGATAACAAAACAGTGAAGAAGCTTCTAATCTGTCATTGTCACAGACATCTGTGAGGAGCCACCTGCAGCACTTTTCAGTGCAGACAGCAACTGAAGAGTGTGAAAAGCCACTGTGACAAGCAGAGAGACCAAGATACTGATTGTGCAATGTGTTCTTCTTGTCAAAGTGGAATGAACCTGTTTCAGAGAATCCAATTTCTTCACATCACACAGGCACATAGTGGGAACCACAAGACGCCACAATGCATTGGAGGTGTGTGGAAGTGAATGATCTCTGTTGTGGAATAAATATCCCTTCTGCCCTTGACAGGTCAGTGCTGAGCAGCAGAGTGATCCTTTCTTGTCCTCTGTGGAGCATGGAGAGCTCACACTGAGCCCTTTTCAGCCAATGTTTGCCTCAGATGCTTTCCAGGATGGAGAAGCACAGATCTTACTCAGCTTTTAAAGTGGACTCACCTGACCAGTGTATTCACTCTCCCAGATAATTCCTGGACAAAACACAAGCCAGGGAGCATTTCCAGTAGGAAGTCAGCATGTTTTTCCAATAAGCCAGTCTGCTCCTGGGGAATAAGAGAGCTTCATATGTGCACCTTTCCTCACAATTCTACCTCAGCTCCAGAGAACTGTCTTGATCATGTTTAATTTTTAACAGCAAATGAAGCCATAGAGTTCTACTGGCTTATTGGTAGAAATAGGCCCCAACTATTTCACTCTGGGGAAGTCAGTGGACAATTTACTAGGGATATCTGTGGAACAATGTCCCAAGTATATCTCACAATTTGAGGTTGGCAAAGATTTCAGTAAAGACATAGAAAGACTTTCCTTGGCTTCACTCCATGTCAGCTGAACCATTTCACGCTTAGCTGGCTCCCCTTAGAGCCATCGCATCCATTTTCCCTATTTCTGGTGTGGGACAGGGGAACTGCAACCCTAAACCCTGGTCATTTACTCTAATTACTTGTTATTTACACAAGCCAGAAACACAGCCTTTAGAGAAAGATATAGGAAATTGCTGGATATTTAGATGGAGCAATTTCCATCTCTGGATGCCTCATTGTAAACTCAAGGACTGCTGAAAAAAATCCTGATTTTCATTCCTAGGACTCTTGGAAAGTTGGGCAAGGAGAGAATGGGGAAACATTCCTCCCTCCCTTGAAAATTATAATTTTGGAGCTGTTATAACATTCAAAGATACCTCTAGTTCAATCTCACACCCAGTTTAATCATCCTTTTCTTTCAAAGCTGAACAGTTTCTGTTAAAGCTGAACAGCTTTCGAAGAGACGGTGTTTCTTGAATATTAAAACAATAACTATTTAAAACATTTCCACACATGACCCTGTATTGCATGAAGAAAATGTCAGCCTCATAAAACCTCTAAACCAAATTTTTAATAGATGTCTGTTTTATTTTCTCTCTAATCCCCCAAGTCTATCTCAAAACCAAGCTTCCTCTCAAAACCAAACAAACATCTGGTACAGCTGAAAAGACTCTGTAACTTACATTATACATTAAATTTCTCTTTCCAAGAGAAATTGCTGTTTCAGCCTCAAAATTATCAGTCATAAAACTGTGATATTTCTACTTTTCTCACCAGAGTGCTAAAGTTCTTAGGATTGCAGTACCATCTCCTACAACAGTCTCCAGAAAGCTGGATTTTCCACCTATCTGCTGGATAAATCTCTTCCCCTCTCCAGTTCCTTTCCTGTCCTTCTCTTAAGGCCAGTGAGCATCTATTTTGACATGTTTGTCACAGTTGCACTACAAAGAAGGTATGTAATAGTGCTGTAATATGATCAATACCTTATTGTCACTGTCATGGGCTTTAGGGAGGAACCATATTTAACTGCTATTGCAGCATTTAATCAATTGTTTATAAAGCCATAATCTTAATTTAGTAGAGTAACTTTGAGACCAGCTGACATTGATCATTCTGTGTAAACAATGTTTTGTTTTCTGTATTTTATTTTTACTCAGTTGCTTTGGTTAGTCAAGTGCTAGAAGTTCACTGGTCTATGTCATTTCCTGAGGGATGTTTCTGCAAAGTAAAATACCAGTTTCACAGGGCAGTTTCACAAGCACAATACAGCAGAAAACACACAAAACCAGTCCATAAATAATCTTGTTAAAAACAAATAATGTTTTCAAGTTGAAGAAGATTGATTTTATTTGAAATAGGTATTAAAGCAAACAAGATAGCTCAAATATAATTTTGATGTATTAGAAGTGACGGTGAATATAATGTTCCCCTCTCTCTCTTTGGCTTTTAAGCTCAAGCAAACAGACTATGATTTATCTTCTGTCCTCTTAGTTTTGACATGGAGTCCGTGTTCCTCCTCAGCTATCTTGGAGAAAAGGATTTATCTGCATTATAGAGAGTGCGTTTCAAATGGCTATAGCAATTGCAACAAATTTAGAAATAAAGCCACAGTGTTGAAAAGCTTTTGGTTGTGCAGTGGGAAGGCTCTTGCAGCTGATGGAAGGGCAGATTTCAGTCTGGACTGGTAACTGTGTTGAGAACGTGACCCCCAGCAGTCATCAGGGGAAAAAATAGTAAACCACATATACTCAGGAACACTTGCATCAGTCAAAAGCATTTCTGAATACGCAGGGAAAGGACATTGAGGCCTTTAGATCGTAAAGAAGGATCTTTACCTCACTCCAGTGCTGTGCAGAGCACTTTATTAAATAGCAGCCTTGCATGAAGTCTTGTGCAGTGGCCATCAAAAAGTCACTGTAGCACCTGAGCAAAACCCATGGAATCAGGATTGTGTCCCTTAATGAATAATTTAATTTACCTGCTGCCTTTTTTTTTTTTTCTTTTACTAAGGAACAAATGCTGCAACTGTCACTCGTGGGACTTCATCTGCAGCTTTCCTCTGGGGAAGGATGAAGCCCTTTTCGTGATATCCAAGCTCAGGAATCCACTGTGGAAATGCAGCTGGCTTTAAGGAAGAAAGCTAAGTAATGTTAACCAGAGAACTGCTTAAACAAAGCATTGTCAAAGCACAGGCTAAAGGAAGGAGGAATCTTTATGAACAAGAATACACTATTCATGCTGCATGGGTTGTTGCTAGCCTGGGGAACATCAGGGATCTAATTCTGGTCTTATTTTCTTCAAAGTCAGAAGTATCTGTACTGAAGTCAAAGCAACAATCATGTAAGGCTTGGTATAAAAGATTAGAAGTGTTCCCACCTGGTGAAGTCTCAGCAAATGGATCCAGGCCACTTTACCATGTTAAAAAGAGCTATTTTCTCTCCAATTTTTCTTTGAGCTTCAATGCTATAAATCCAAAAATAACTAAACCGAAATCAAAGTCATTCCCTGGTACTTTGTAATAGTAACCGGCTGAAGAGCATTAGCCACCTTTTACATCTTTCTTGGTTTGAATTTTCCTATATACATTAATAGATCTACGTTTATAGGTAAAAGCAGCACACTTGAAACATAGGCCAGTGTTTGCACTGAGGGCATAGGACATGCCTGTGGGTTGATATTTGTGTCTGTAAAGGCAGGGAGCCTTCTCACCTCTTTTTGTTAATTCTGGAGGTTACAACTGTCTGATGAGCCACCAAATATGTGAATATGTACCTCGCCTGCAAAAACTGTAAGATTTCCGTGGAAGTAAATATAATACTTCAAAGCTTTTTGTGGGCTTGTGAATGTGAAATCCTTTAAACCTCCTTCAGACTTTCATTCCATGTGAAGATTTCAGAGATTCATCCTCTTCATACTCGCTCATAGACAATGTCTCTCTTTTTGCTCACAAATATTGATTCTGGCCTTCCTTTTTCAGTAAATGTATGTGTAAACATAGCCCAGGGGAAGGCAAAGTGATAAATGAATACATGTCTTTTAAGGAGATTTCACAGAGAGATGAGTCTTAGGACACCCTGTAAAGAGTTGGTTTGATAAGCAGCCTTTGGAGCCAGGCCCAGTCCATGTCCCCCACACCCAAATACTGCCTCGTGGTCCTGCTGCTTTCTCTCTCTTTGGCTGCCCAGGCTTGTCCCTGCAAAGCGATAGTCCTTTCCCTCATTAGGGTTGATCTTCCCTTCTTAGTGATGGGGTCTTCTAGCACAAATGAGTAACCTGTTGCCTCATCAGCTGTTGGGGCTACAGGTGTGGCTTCTCTGCTCTGCCTTTCAGAGGAGGAACAGCAGGATGGCTCTCCAACACTGTTCCCATATCAGGTATTTCAGAGCATCCTACCCAGCAGGATTTCCTGTCCACATAACAGACTGTTGACACATGCCTTGAAGGGTTAGTGTTCCTGGAGACTGCACAATCCTACAGATAACCTTCTCCTTAATTATAACAGTCCTTAGCAATGGCTGTCAGCTTAAGAAGAGACAGGTGAGCCTGTGCCCTTTCCCCCTCCTTTCACATCAAGTCTGGAGCTGATCCATATCTCAGTTTTAGAAAAGATGTGTCTGATCTGACCAAAGAAATTGCTGGACCTCTTTCCTCTTTTCAAGGAATGATTGGTGACTCTTTCCTGTTAAGAAGTAAGACAAATATGGGCTACAAATACAATGGTTCTGATATTCTTCTGGAAACACAAACATTCTACGTGAAGATTACAGAATAAGATAGTAACCTGCAGGATATGACCACCTCTACCATACAAACTAAACACAAATAAAAGAAGGTCATCTAGACTAAATGGTATACATAGGGGGAAAATGCAAGAAACAATGGATAATTATGAATAAGATCAGGAACAGTGTTGTTCTCCCAGAAGAGTAGACTCCAGCAAAGCATAGAACAAGAATTTAGATCACTTGTTTGATTTCATGCAGAAGGTCTTGCAAGTGATGAGTTTCAATATCTGATCTTAAAGCTGGGATGATTGATTGCTCTGAAATCTTCTCCTAGCAAAACGAGGTTTTGTCACACAGTTATCCAAGCCACAAAATTTTATTATTTCATTTTTGTTTTAACCCCGGAGGGCCTCCAATGGACTACCACCCACAAGCAGCTATGCACAAGTATGACTGACAATCACCCAGAGTTACACCACTAGTAACTCTGACCTTCAAAGAGGTCATGCTCTGATTTTCAGCCTTGCTATGCAGCACTGAGTGGTAGTTACTGTGTAATGTTCCTCTATCAGCCTCTGCTCTTTCTTTCTTTGCCATTACACAGGTCTGACAAACTTTGCAGCAAACTCTCACTCTTACTGGGAATACAGGGGTTAAATTTCCTCTTCCTTGGGATATGTTTGGCAGACATATGCCGATTCTGTTTTCAATTGTGCCATTTCTCTCCCAGTGCATGCACAGTCACAGCTGTGAACAAGTTGCAGGCTTAAATTTTTAATGCTGAAGGCTATTCCTGGCTACCTCCTCAACATTACCACCTCCACTGAAACCTGTAATGTACCCATGGAGACATCCTGGGTTCCACTTAATTGGAACAATATTTACATTTTTCTTTCTGGTTTGTTTGTATCATCGAGTTCTTAAATAGAGTCTTGCTGAGGTATGGAAACAAATTTTCTTTGCCTATCCATTTTTGAAAAAATATTCAAACTGCATTATCTGCAAACTGTTGGAGGAGAAAAATGAAGAAAAGAGTTCTTAGATCAGAATGGAAGCCAGTCAGTTAATAAGGAGGAAAAATAATGCTGTGTATTAATGGCTGGAAGGAAAATGGTTGCTGTGATTTATTTAATGGGATGAGTTGAGGTCAGGGTATTGTTTTCTAGGGTATTGTGTAAATATAGAGAAAGAAACAGCATCTACTCTGAAGACCTCGATAGAAAAGAGACTCAAAAAACAGAGGCAGTGAAATCATCCTGATCTTACAGGATTGAGGCAGAGAGAGGATAAGGTCACATAGAAAGTCCTGAAAAATATGGGAACTGATAATGTCTTTTGTCAGTTTAAGTCCTGTGCTCTAAACTGATCAGCATCTATGAGTTTTTCAAAATTTCCATGCATCCATGTCTTACACAATTTGGAAGCAAGCTCAAATCTATGAGAGCTTTAGGTGAAGAAGACATCTTTAAGAAAAAGAAGCATCAAAGTCCTCTCTGTAAGCGTCTCTGCAAATCAAAATATTTCGTTCCTTTCTTTTTTTTTAATGTGCCTTGGTTGCTGGTAAATTAATCAACTTCTTCAGGGAGACAGACTGTGCTTCCTTCAGCTTGGAATAGGACCACTCCACAATGGGCACCAGAGAAACACAGTGTTGAATGGAAGAAGTAAAACACTTTATTCTTATGCTACATTATGAAAAGTCCTTAGGAGCTCCTATTGTAGAACAATCCAGCTCTTGTTTTAGCCTTAGGTAGTGTCATCTCCACAGTCTCATAATAATTAAGAAAAACCTAGTTTGATGACACTATTAAAAACATTTTTATCATATTGTCCACTTAAAATGAGTTAGAATTTCACTGTGAAATCCCCTGACCATTCTCCCTCAACCAGAGAACACACTAATGAGACCTTGCCTTACTGCATTGTAATTTGAAAGTTAGAGTGACAAAGAAATGCAGTTTTCCCAAATAAAATTGATTTTGGTTTCAAGACACCCAACTTACCAATGTTAACAGTCTGAAGGAGAGCAGAAAACCTAGTGTCCATTACCTCCTATTTTAGGAATAATAAAGTTATAAGTTATGACTCTAAATCCACTGAAGAATCAGTCAGGCCAGAATATAACCACTCCTAACATCCTTTTCATGGCCAGTACTACCCTCTAGCAGGCATAGCATGGGCCAGTACCCCCAAACTGTTGGATCCCAAATCAGCACAGCAGCTACCTAATGCTATCCAATGCAGAGAGACATATAAAGTTGTTCCTGCTGCTAAATAGAGATGAAGCCTCCCCACACCCAGGGCTTCCCATCACACAAAGACACAATTTTCACATGATGAGAAACTTATGAGAGAAAGGTCTGGCTCTAAATTATTGATAGTTGAACAGAAGTCCATATTAACATGGATAATGTTCTCTCAGTAAAAAGATGAATGAACCAGGGTGGATGTGGCAACAAATGCTCTGTCAGCTCCTGGAATATATATCTGATGGTTCAGGGGCGAGTTCTTGCACTGGATATTGTGCAAATCCACTCTGCCTCTCTTGACTCACTGATGCTGAATCATCTCCAGCCCTGAAATCTCTGTCCTGTGGCTCTTGGTACACCAGCGAGACATTGCTGAGAGTGGATCCACAGTCAGCAGGTAAAGTAGTTTTCTCTGAACTGTAGTATCCAAGACCTACTGTCCATTATTCCTGGGAGGAATGGAAAGCACGCTGCTGGCTCTTGCCCTGTCCTAGGCATAAATTCTTCTGTCATATGTTCTTTCTCTCTGTCACTGAATAATTCCCAGGGTCTCTTGTGTCCAAATTTGCTAAGGGCTGTGTGGAATGAGCAAACAGGATGCATCAGCACCTTCACAATAACCTGTGAGAAAGGATGCCTGGACAGTTAGTCAGGACGCAGAAGCTGAATTTTGTGCTTTGGTGCATTTTTGAAAATTGTGGATGAGCTCTCTGCCTCCTTTGCTGGACCTGATATTGCACTCAGCCTCAGGGAATTTAGATAGTCCTGATGAAACCAATAAGAGATTTTATTGGTTTTTGAATTTGAGAATGGTCATTAGCAACAGGGAAGTGGTGGAGAACATTGTCCTATTTCATGTTTTGTCTCTATCTGCCATAACACTGGAGTAGTGAAACAAGGCTCTGATTCAGCTGTCATTGATTTCATTGAGATTTATCTTATAATTTGAAAATATTCTGTTTCTCAGTTAAATCTTCTCATTAAAAGATCATTGATAAAGATCAACTTACTGACTCTGTACTCAGAGACTATGTTAAAGAACAAACAGAGAAATTCAGGTTAATGAGAAGATCCCTCTGGTAAAATTAATTCCATTTTGGGACCTCAGTACAGAAGAGAGTTTGAAAAACACAGGAGAGTCTAGTGGAGAGAAGCCAGGTTGGTTAAGGGGACACAACACCTGATGTAGCAGGGTTATATCTTGCAGAAAAGGCTAAGGAGAGACCTAATGTCCTTTGTCTTTTGGATAGCTGTAAGCAGACAGAGACAGAACTTGTCAGAGGTGAATCAAAAAGATAACTGGATAACTAGCACAGGTTTTAGGACAGGAACTATAAACACTGGAACAGGGGCACAGAGAGGTTGCAGTATCTCTAGCCTTGGAGTAACTAGAAACTCAGTGGACAAAGCCCTCAGAAACCTTTTGTAACAGTTGAAGTTGCCCTGGATTTGAGCAGGAGCAGGTAGACGACCTAAAGAATTCCTTTCCAATGTTTTCTTTGGTGATTCTATATTCAACATGTATCTTCCCACTGTTTCTCTTCCAAGTTTCAATAGAACTGTCTGAGTTATTTGTTAATTCTGAGGAAGATGCTCTGTCATGTGTCTAGAATTTGATGTGACTGTAAGGCACTGTCTGTCACAGTGGTTTTCATATAAATGCATTTATGCAGCACATACAGGCATCATCTCATATTGGCATCATGTTGAACCTGTTTGTGGTTTTGGTCTTTTAAAATGGTTTCAGCTGGAGCTGAACTCAGAGAAACAAACATACAAAGGCATTTTAAGTAGAATTTAAGAAGAGTTTTGCTGAAATACTTTGTGACTTCATCTCACTTTTCTCTGCATATATCAGAATGCAGTCCTGTTATCCATCACCTACTTTCTTGTCAGACTTCTTTAAGGGCTCTGCTAAGCCTTGATGTCTCCTCCCCCTTCAAGGGAGAACACAAAGCCTCTGCTAAGAGATTTGAGAGACAGTACATCTGCAGCAGAATGTCACCTCAACAACTATTGCCTCACAAATAATAATGTCAGAAGCATTATGGAACTTGGAGGAAGAAAGCTGCAATGCCCATCTTGCAAAAAATAGATTAAATGGTTTTCAGCAATATTTTGGGAAATATATCCTCACCCATGAAATTGTCCTCTTTTGCCTCCATTCAAGTTGAATATATTGCAGTGAACTCTGCTTAATTGCAATGCCAGGTCATTCCACCCTCCATGGAACCAATTGAACCTAATGATAGTGAACAGTAAGTGACCATTGCTTAATTAGGCCAAAATTTACATAAATTGCAGATTATGGGGGGAAATGTCAGTAGTTAATAAAAAGAAAAAAAATTATTGTTCCTAAAAGACCAAACGACATGCAACTTTGCCTTATTTGGGAATTTTGTAAAAGCTTTAAGCTCAGAGGAGCTTATCCTGACCCAGGATAACATGTTTGGGCAAACCTGATCTGGGTTTCACATCACAGCCAAGCAACAGCACTAGTCATAACTGCACATGGTGAGATGTGCTAGCAGGTGAAGCACAGAAATTAAAAGAACTTCATGTGGGAATTTCTGGGTTTATTTCAACACATATTGGGAAGGTGCAAACATGATCAAAACTAAGAGGAAAAAGGAAAACAATCACAGAATCCCAGAATGGGTAAGGTTGGAAAGGACCGCAGTCGGTCATCCGGTCCAACCTCCCTGCTCAAGTAAGGTCATCCTAGAGAACGTGGCACAGGACCGTGTCCAGAAAGTTCTTGAATATCTCCACCAAGGGAAACTCCACAACCTCTCTGGGCAACCTGCACAGGAAAGAAGTTCTTCCTCATATTCAAGTGGAATTTCCTGTGTATCAGTTTTGGCCCATTGCCTCTTGTCCCACTGCTGGGCACCACTGAGCAGAGCCCAGTCTATCCTCTGACACCCTCCCTTCAGAGACTTGTATACATTGATTAGGTCCCCTCTCAGTTGTCTTTTCTCGAGGCTGAACAAACCCAGCTCCCTCAGCCTTTTGTCATAAGAGAGATGCTCCAGACTCTTAGTCATCTTTGTAGTTCTCTGCTGGACCTGCTCCAGGAGCTCCATATCTCTTTTGTACTGAGGAACCCAGAACTAGACACAATAAAATCCTCAATCTGGATCTTCTAGTTGAAGTTTAGCCTAGTTGGATTTCCCCTGCAGGTTTCAGCTGTCACATCAGTGAAGCTTACACCTGCAAAAGCGTTCACTTAGTTTGCACCAGTTACAGATAGACTGAGTATCCAGAGCTGCGGAAACAACTTAAACATGGGAAGCAGTTTCTCTGGTCCTTTGAAAGAAAAATGCGGGTAACTGGAAGAGAGATATTCTTCTTAAGTTACAAGCCATTTGCAACACGGCAGGAACAAGCACACAGTCAGTTAATCTGTCTTTGCAGGCAGAAGATTCAACTACAGTGATACAGCACTGTGCATCTCTCTGGAAATACTCAGAGGGTGAGAGTGGAACCATGCTATTTGCAAAGCCAGAGAGTTGTGCAGGAAAACTGTCTCAACTCTGACAAACAACTGTCACTTTGTTTCTGTTGGGTTTTGTCTCCGAGCTCAAGAATCTTATCTGATCATTGGATCTGAGAAGACATGAATTATAACCCCAGCTGTATTGTAATTTCTCTATGGTCTTAGTTGCTCAGATCTTGATAACCCATTTTCCTCATCTGCAGCATTTTCTCTAGTGCAAGGTTTGGGACATAAAGTGTATCCATATTTTGTAAATGCAAACAGTTACCAAACTTTTCCATTGAGAAAAATGGCGACAACTAGATTCTGATTTTTTTTTCATGTCCTCACTATTCAGCAAAGAACTTCAATGTTGATCTCATTCATGCTGAAGAACTGTTTGCAGAATAAATCATCTCAAAAAATCATCTCAAAAAAATAATATGTGCAGATAATTCATTGTGCAAAGTACCTTCAGTAAACGTGTGATCCTACTGCTTGAAATCCATGAAGTCTCACTGAGGGTAAGGTAGATTTCAGCTGAGTAAATACTCCACAGCCCAGCCTACAGCTGGCTCCACAGCTACCCTCAGACAGTCCCATTTTAAGTATAGTTTAGCATAAAAAAGTGTCACTAAAATTAACAACTGATCATATGATGAAGTCTTGTATATTAAAAGTCAAGGTGTCACAGACAATGTTGTACACATTATCAACCATGATGAAAGAATTTGAAGATTTAGTTTTCTAGATATAGTGGAGCAAGATAACGTTTAATTTCTCCAAGCTATTGTACTGTGTCAAATTTCAGAGTCTGGTACATGGACAAATACAGGTGTTCTTATTTTTATTCTCAGTGTATACACTCAGTGTAGTCACAATACATGACTATTTATGAGCCCTATAGGCAAGGTTACCTTTATTAATAGAACCAGCTAGAATAGAGTTAACCTAGTAAAGATCTTTTACTATTAAACAACAACAAAAAAATATTTATTACCAAGAATTAACTAACCTTGCAGTCAGTCAGGCTATGTGTTTTAAGGAGAAGTTACAAGGATTCCAAGCAGCACTTCACATTGACAAAGCTACCAAACTTTCTGAAATATATGAAAAAAAAAACAGTGAAAAGGGTGTATTGGATTGTCCACAAAGCCAAAAATGGTTGCAAACCTGTTAGTGGTAAAAGCAGCATATTGAAGATATTTAACTTCACTGAGAGCCGTAATACATTACAATTTTCACTGAATGTTCAGCCCAGTTATCCTGCTGCCAGCAATCTTTAAAGCTATTTATATATTACCCATATTGCTTTATTATTTTTCCTTTAAGAAGAGCAGTTTAATGCCTGAGTGCTTTTCAATTTTGCCATTCAGACCACAGATTAAGTTTATAATGACTAGCTTAATTTTTACAGGCTGTAGCATGTATTCGGTCTGAAAGATACCCCTGGCGATATGAGGCTTTAGATGACTTTGGTGTTTCAATAAAAGTTAGATGCAGTCCAATGCCTTCTTACAGTCCTATTGTGGCTGATTATATGACTGCATGTTCTTTTCGGCCACTACAGTATGTAATTTACAGCCTATTTCTTTCTTGGTGTTTGAAAAGGCAGAGATCTCTGAACTACAGGGTTGGGAACAATTTTGCTTTCTATTTCTTCTTTAACAGACAGATAACAAGCGGATGAGGAGTCTGCATTGAACATCTTGCAGATGTGTAGTACTATGGGAAAAGAGCACCCAAACTGAAAAAAAAAGGCACAGATACACTTGAAAGCCTATTAATTGAGACTGCTATTCAGGGTCTGGAATTGACTGGATTTCAAATGGCCATGCAGAGACAGGGGACCCATGGAACAAACCCCTTCATCTCTTTTCTAGACTATCTGGACTCTATTCTTGAATAGGATTTATTTTATGTAACTCTGGGAGATTTTAGCTCCACTGAAGTAGGTCGTGGTTCTCCTCTGAATATACTGAGAAGATGATAGAACCACAGAATAACAGAATGGTTTGCATTGGAGGGGACCTTAAACGTTGTATAGTTGCAACTCCCTTGGCATGGGCAGGGACATCTTCCACTAAACCAGGTTGCCCCATCCAACCTAGCCTTGAACACTTCCAAGGTTGGGGCATCCACAGTTTCTCTGGGAAACTTGCTCCAGTGCCTCACCACCCTCACAGTAAAAGTGTTTTTCCCAATATCTAATTGAAACTCACCCTCTTTTACTTTAAAGTCATTACCCCTTGTCCTATCACTCCATGCCTTTGTAAAAAGTCCCTCTCTGGGTCTCTTGTAGCCCCTTTCAGGTACTGGAAGGTGCTATAAGGTCTCTCCAGAGCCTTCTCTTCTCTAGGCACAACAATCATGTTGTCTCCATGGCAACATCCCGTCTCCACGGCAGAGGCGCTCCAGCCCTCTGATCATCTTTGAGGCCTCATATGGACTCTCTCCAACAGGTTGACGTCCTTCTTCTGCTGGGGGCCCCAGAGCTGGATGCAGTTCTCCATGTGGGGTCTCACAACAGTGGACCAGAGGGGCAGAATCCCCTCCCTCGACCTGCTGCCTACACTGCTTTGGATGTAGTTAGGTTGTTTTCTGGACTGCCAGTGCACATTGCTGGGACATGTTGAGCTTCTCATCAACCAACGTCCTCAAGTTCTTCTCCTCAGACCTTCTCTCAATCCATTCTCCTCCCAATCTGTATTTGTGTTTTGTATTGTCCTGACCCAGGTGCAGGACCCTGCACTTGGCCTTGCTGAACTTCATGAGGTTTGCACAGCCCCACCTCTCAAGCCTGTCCAGATCCCCCTGGATGCCATCCCTTCCCTCCAGTGAGGGGACCACACCACACCCCAAATCTAAACAAAACACCAAAGAAATCAAAGATTATCTGAAGTAACGTAGTTGTTTGTGCTTTAGTATTCACCCTGTCTGTGAGGTAAGCCTGGTTTTAAGGTTATTCCCAGATCGGTGCAAAGCTGACAGCAGAAACTAAACTCATTTCCTGTTGAAGTCTGAAGGAGGGAGGTCCTGATTTGCAGGCTGGTGGTGTCTGAGAATGGAGGCATAGGGCGTGTTTATTCATGAGTGAGTCTCGTCTTGGAGGAAATTCAAACTGAAGGAGTTCATTCCCCACACAGGTCAGAAACATATCCCAGACTAAAAAGACAGACACAAACTCTGCAGTATCAAAATCCATTTTGGTTTTTGTTCAATCCCATTTGTGCCACTTTCTCAACAAAGAAGTATTGCCAATTGTCACGTACTTACACACTGTGATTCTTTACTTCCTTTTCTTTCTTTAATACAAAGCGGAAAAAAATTGTGTAGGTAGAACCATGAAAACCTCGATAAGTTTTTGTTGGATAGACTTAAGTACTTAAGATAAAAAAAGAAAAGTAATTTGATGTCAGATCTAGTATTGGAAAACACAAAAAAGTTCTTTTCAAGAAAGACTTAATAGAAGATTGAAAGAGAGAGAATACCTCTTTTTTTCTCTCTCTATATATAAAAGGATCATTTACCGTGGTCTCTGAGCTTCTCAAAAACTCAGCTTTTAGAAAAAAACCCTGAAAATTATATAACCTTTCCCTCCCAATGGTTCTGCTTTCACTAGCTGACATCTGTTGTTAGTAATAGATGCAATAAAACTACCTATGCCAAAAAAGTCAGACCCTTATGTTTACTGCAGTAAAGCAGAAGGATTTACAATTTGGTGTAAAAAGTTTTTATGGTTCACTATAAATCTTGAATTCAAAGTGTTTCTTAACTTTGAGACAGAAACTGCTTTTCCTTGGTAGATTTCAAAGAACATTGTAAAGGTGGTTTCAATTTTAGAGATGGTCAATAATTACGTTTTGGAAAGAATTTTCAATGGAAAAAAGTCTTTTCTCGAAGCAGAGTTTTTCTCTCCTCTGTGAGGAAAACAGAAATGTTGCATTCCAAGATAGTTGCCGAAAAACCCTATAGTTTCAATATTCACACAGAACATGGAATTATGAGAGAACCTTCCAAGAGGTTAACTGGAAGGTTACAGCAAAGCCCAGACCTCTGTTCAAATGCTTAGGCAAAACTGATCTCAGAAAGGGCTTGGATCTACACAATAAATTTTATTTCTACCACTAGTTTGTTTTATTTATATATGTAAATATATACATATAAAATATTCCAAGTTTCTATTACTAGCACAGTTTATTCCTGCAGAAACCTCTTCTGAGACAGTTTAATTTTTACATGTTTAAAAACAGAATTATCATATCAATATAAAGAAATTAAGGCACCACCATAATATGTTCTTTACAGAAACTTAGCCTGAAAAAAACCATAGATCTATCTACTTTTTATGGAGATGCTTTATCAATTTTCTAAGATCTATTTTAGACGCTATTTTAGGAAACTGTGAAAGGATATGTGTGCACAAGCACAGTACAAACACATGGATGCTCCTGGTCAAAAGCCATCAGCTCGGAGAAGTCAGCTCTCACAAGACAAAACTGAAGATCTGAAGCTATGTGTTTGTTCCTGGAGAGATGAAAATGTTACTCATTGGTGTGGTGTTTGCTGTCTGGAGAACAGCAGAATTGTTGATTTTCTCAAGTATTACTCCAGGTCTGATGGATTGCATAAATCCAAATGTGACTCTGAGCAGTGGAACTCCACTGTCAAAGGGAAAATATGAACGTAGGGACCAGTTCATGGTCACAGAAAATGTTAGAGTTGAATTTGGGGGAGTTGTTGCCAGCTGTTTTTATTATTTCTTGACAGCTACAGTATTGGACAATGGCTTAGCCTGAGTATGATCTCTAAACTAAAGCCAGAAAATGAACTGACTTCAAATTGTATCTTTTTAGTTTAGTAAATAAGTGTATCTCCTCCTGCTGCTTGAGTCATCTCTTTTATGCTGCTGATAGACAACACTACAGTCTTCTGACAAAGTCTTCTCTGGCAATCTGGCAGCAACTGGTCTACTCTTCCCATGGGCACATCAGTAATCATCAGCTCAGTCCTGAGAGCTGGCTTTTACTGAGGAGGGGAATGAACCCTTTTCTTCTCAACCTGATTGGGAACCTGCTTAGTTTAACATATAAAGGAAGCACCACTTCAGATTGGGATGTCACTGAGAGTGGTCAGGTTGGGAAAAGATATCAGGGACATCATCTGACTCTAGTTGCAACCTTAGAATCTTCTCGAAAGAAAGGTGTTTTGCTACCGAAAGTGGATGTATTGCTGCTCCTTTAGTTTCTCTTCCACCTCTAAGAGGGACAGATGACATTCCCGCTTCTCTTTTTCTTCTACATGTGGGATTTAACAGGACATGGTCCAGCAGCATTTCATTGTCATTGTCATCATGTCCCTGTCTGGCCCTGGGAATCCTGGGGCTGCGTAGGGGTGTGGGGTGGATTTGGGATAGCCTCTGAATTGGGCTTTTGTCCAAGTGGCCGTAGAACTAGTGCTTGTAGTGCTGGAATATACTGGCTAAAAGCTACCTTGGGTATGTCTCTACTGGTACCACCTATGCTGTGAGAGGATGTGCTGGTTGTCAAATCTTCATGGAAGACATGATTGTTGTCCATCACAAGACAACTTGCAGCAAAATAACACTCTATAGATGATTCCAGGAAATGTCATGGAATTGTCCAAAACTGCAGAAATGGGAATTTGGGTAACAAGGAAATGAGAGAGTCTGTGTGGGTGTTAGAAATTGTTGAGGGAGAAATGCTAAATTTGACTTCATGGACTTGCCAAGTAAAATCCCACTGTACTTTAGGACTCTTGGGGCTCTTGGATCTTCACACTGGTGGACCATCACAAAAGTGTTAGATTCTGTTGGGAAGTAATGCTGCAGTCATTCTGAAAGCAGTGCGGTACTAGCAGAAAGTCAGGACTTTGTACTGTGGTCACAATTAATGTGCTCTCTGCTGTGATCAATTTACACTTAATGATGCATTTAGTGGTAATAAAATTGGGAAGTTACAAAATATTCTTCCTATTGTTTTAATTTGCTACATTTTAGGGGTCAAGTAAAGGTGAGATTATAATATATTTCATTTTGGGGAAAGAAAAATCAGAATGGTTGAGGCAGAAAGTCATGAGAAAAGAAAAAATAATAGGGTTACTAGGAATTACAAGTCTTTTTTCTCTGTACCAATCATAAGAGTGCTGAGTTAGGAAAATGGCATTTAGAAAGTTGTTCTTATAATTAGAAATGCCCTTCCTGCCTCTGCACAGTAGTATTACCTCTGAAATTTCTGCCACCAGGCAAGGCTTTTAGGAAGTCATTATGGCATACAAATAGACCATACTAAATTAAATTGATTAATACATCATATGAATATTTTCAGCTACTTAGTTTTGGCCAGCGGCAAATTCTAATGGACATCTAATCAGCAAAGACAGTCCAACCTTTCTGAGAAGCCTGAATCATTGGGGAAGTTATGACACAAAGCTTCTCTTCAAGTGAAGGAAATGTGACACGCCACTTTCCATGGGTTTAAGATTTTGTTCAATATACTCCTCACTGCAGCAAGAAGCCAAACCAGATCCAAATCCTACATATGAATCTTCCTGCTGGAAGATTCGGACAGGAAAGTTTGGACATGAGGATTTATTTTTGTTCCAAAGTATTAGCTTGTTCAGTTCAGGACTGTTGGAACTTTCAGTGGCCCTTGGCTGGGCATGAAATGCATTTCTGTCATCCCGCATTTTCTTAGGTAGGTAACATAGATGAGCACAGGTAAAAAAGAAATGTCATCATCAAATAATGTGGACATGCAGAGTTGACTCACTTTTCTCTTCCTGCCCTGGAACACCAAAACACATTAGCTCACTTTTTGGCAATGGGAAAAGTGAAATGGAGGACTGAGACAGACTGAAAATATCAGCTTGAGCAGGTGCACGGAGAGGAGGTGGAAATATCTTTCAGCTGTTGAATATTGGTTCACATGGTTTGGAGTGCACTTTCACATTTTCCATAAGTGCTTGGAGTTCAGAGGGACAAAATGTTTTCAAGGGCCATCAAATTTCAATCAATAAGGAAAAGAACAAGAACAGAACCACAAACCTGTCCAAGTCTCTTCCACAACTTAGCACTATCTCATTTAAATTGGTGAGATTGGAAAGTTTCTGTTAATTAGGTTTTTTTACTATTTTCCCTTTTTGGACCTCTTTAGGACTTCAAGATTCTTACATTACTATTAAGGATTTTCCACTATTTGGAAAAATACAAAGTGCTGAATTGTTAAAGGAAGGTAAGATAGCAAAGACTGTACCTCTTAATCCTGTGCTCCTGGATAGAAGCTGAGGATGCAGGGAACAGAACTGCAAGCAG